GGTCCCCAGGGAGCTGGAGCTTTGCTCCTTTAACAGGCCCCTTGATCTATTCCCTGGGCCTCTGGAGAGCCTAACACCGGGCTGACCCTCCTGAGCATTCCACCTGGTGTGACTGTTGGGGGTTCCAAGCAGGAGGACCTGACAGTCTTGGCCTCTGTGCTCCTAAATCACAGTGAACTTGGCTGATCTGACTCAGGCCCCTCCAAGATGTACACTGGAATTGGATGTGCTAAATTTGTTTTCATTTGTTTCTAAGCATCTCAATTGGGGGTTGGGGGTTTGGTAGTGGAGTTTTAGCCTGATGATTGAGATTCTACACCCAATTTGTGGCACTGTCTCTGCCACCCAAAGCCTCGTGATCTTGGGCACTCGGCCTTTGCTGCCCTAGAGTATTTTAGGACAGGTGATGAAAGCAAGTAGGTTCACACCCCCTTCCTCCCTTCCAACGTGATAATTATTTGTGGTTAAAAAAAAACCCTGCAGGTTGCGAGCTAGAAGAAACTGTGACTCCTGCCCCATTTCCAGACAACATGGATGATGCAGTTAAGATCCGTAGCGGAAAATGAGAAACGCTTCCCTCTCCATCTGCTTCTAAACCTCCAGAAACACACGTAACACCACCACACGCTAGTGCCATGTCAAGCTCTGTACCAAGGGGGCTGCATTTATTTTCTCGTTGAAAACTTGCAGGAACTCTGCAAGGCAGGAGCTGCTGTTTCCAGCTAGGAAGGCTGAGGTTCAGAGGCATTAGCTTACGCAGAGCCAGAGGGCTAAAGGAGCAGACCTACCTGGCTGTTTGGATTTACAAAGCCTGTCTTTAATAAACTCTTAGTCTTTAAGAACTGCTGCCTGATATTTATATATTTACTTATTTATATTCTGTGGCTGCCGTAACAAAGACCACAAGCTGCAAGCAAACTGCTTCAAACAACAGACATTTATACACCTCTTAGAAGCCTCTCAAGAGCCGAAGTCCAAAATCAAGGTGTAGACAAGGTCACGTCTCTCTCCAAAGACATTAGAGTAGAATTCACTCCTTGCCTCTTGTTTTGTGGGGCTGCTGGCATTCCCCAATTTACAGCCGGGTCTCCCCACTCTGCTCCTGGGGCCATGTCTCCTCCTCCATGTCTGTGTCAACTTACCTCCATCTTTTAAGGACACACATGACAGCCTTTACCGCCTCCCCAGATCCTTAATCACAATAAGGTAACAGTCACAGATCCCCAGGGCTGGAATATGGGTATCTTTGGGGGCCACTTTTCAGTCTACCACACCACATGTACCTATTCCATACTAAACATTTCTATTCCTTTACAGACCTTCATTGTGTATATTGGGCACTAGAAGTCAGGAGTACTCAGCTGTTTGGGATGGCAGAGAGAAAGATGGCACCCAGCTCTCAGGGGCACGGTGGCACTGTGTGATGGTTCACATCAACTTCCCAGATGCTCAGGAAAAAAACAGGAGTGGGAGACACAGGACAGTCATGAGAGCTAGCACTTAGTACTGCCTCACTGTTCTAATGTTTACATGTATAACTCACATGACCTCTCAAAAGTCCTGTCCCAATCAGGAGGCTGGCTCCAGAATGTGTACCTGTCACCTCTCTGGATGTTTCAGGAGCACAGGGACAGGTGGGGAGGGTGTGGTCAGGGAAGGCTTCCCACTGGAGGTGCCACTGCACTTCCAGGAATCTGGAAGGAAAGGAGGTGGCCAGAGGGTGGAACAGAGAGAGGTTATGAGTGAAGAAGTTCTCCAGGTGGTGATGGGATGGGGTAAGGAATGCCTGGTTTTCTCACTTACCCTTCTCCTGAAGGGGCCTACTGCCTCCCTAGGGTAGCCACCTCCAGCCTGAGGTTCCCAGGGCTCTAGGCTCTGGCATGGATGTCTTCTTGCTGCATCTGCTGGGCTGCACTTTGGGCTATGAGATTGAGTTGCGAGCCCTGGGGCTCTGGCCCATGTCCACCTCTAAGGACCAAGGAACCTTGCAGATTGTACCTTCTCCAAGGGTCCTTCTGGGCAGGCACCGGTGGGCTCCCGGAGCCTGGGAGCTCATGATAGATCACGACTGTCTGGCTACCAGTTCAGCAAGGGCAAGGGCTGCCACAGCTGTTCTCCTTTTCCACACCCACACCCCAGCATGATGGCACAATATAAGCACTGAATAAAAACAATGGGACAACCAGAGAGTGTGAGCAACAGACCCAACCCAGAGCCCACGCCTGGTGGCACCAACTGAAGTAAATCTGTATTCTTGGATTTATTGCGATTCTGTTGTTTGGGAGGAAAACCACCAATCTGTTCATGGGCTGCAGGCTTGGTTCACATGGGATCCATTCACATTCAGATCCGAGGCCCTGACTTCTGCCGAGGTGGGGGAGACGCCCCAACTCCCTTGTCCCCACTCCTGTGGCGGGGGATGTGATGATGGGGAGCACCTCAAGGGCCATTTCCACAACTCCCCACATTCGCCCCTGTTCCGATCCATTTCCCTTTTGCACTGAGCCTATGGGTAAGAGACAAATGAGCACCAGCTGACTTTGAAGGAAGAATGGAAGGGTCCTGGGGCAGGTAGCAGCCCACAGTTTTCACTCCCTGCCCCTCAGCCAATGGGCTTGCTGGCCCTCCCTCAGCCAGTCTCTCCTCCTCCCCTTGGCTCCCCAGGAAGTAATATCCAGACTCTTTGCATATATAATCTTCAGTTGCCCCCTACGGGCAGCACTTTAATTATCCTCATTGTACAGATAAGGAAATTGAGACTCAAAGATGTTAGAGTCTTGCTACGGAGTATCCAACTAACAGAGCAGCCCACACTCATCGGAGCTGGCCTTTGTGGCCTGTGGTCCCTGCTTCACAGTGGGGGCTCACTGCTCTCTTCTCAGGAGGAGCTCCTGGGAGAGGGAAAGCATCATGAGAAAAGGACAGATGAAGGCTTGGGTTTGCCTCTGGAGCTGAGGCTGGAGACAGGAGCCTGGTCCACAGTCAGAGAAACCACAGGGCTTGGTTATACGTTCAGGATATACCTGCAGGGAGACCACAGAAGTGAAACTGAGGCCCCGAGAGGGCCATGCTATGCAGAACTGGGTCCCGGCCTCCCTGTCTGGGTCCCTACACCACTCTTGGCCCTTGTGGATAATGAAGCTGGACGCTACCTAGTTTTTCTGGATAGGAACTTCCCCTGGACCCACCACTGACTGGAAACCAGTGACAAGAGGATGGTTAAGACACATCCTAGGGCCCTCCCTGGTGGTGCAGCCGGTTAAAGCGCAGCACTTTGAAGCTCTCTGCAGCCACTGCAGCATGAGTTCTATCCCGGTCAGGGAGGTGACCACATGGCGTGGCAGACCACTCCTGACCCGCCAACTGCTCTCCTCAGCAGTGTAATTTCAGTCAATCTGCCTGTTCTGCTCCCCACTCTGTCTCTGGTGAGTCCTCTCAACCCCGCAACTCTGGCCTATACCCTGATTCTTGCGTACATAAATAAAAATAAATCTTAAAAAAAAAAAAATCCTGTCTTGGAGGGTTTCCTAGTCAGGTGGGGAGATGGGCCTCCCACCAGAGAGTTATATAAATAAACCGAATAGAGGCACCTGGAGAAAGGGACCATAACTAATAACAGACAAGATGGAGTGCTATCAGGGAAGGCTTCATGGAAGAGGAAACTCTGACCTGAGCTGGAAAGCAAAAGAAGAGGTGGACTCGGCCAAGACCAGTTCTGGAGTTGGAGGTAACTGGTACCACAGGGCCGGGTGTGCTGAGCAATAAGCCAGGTCATGCCGGGGACTCAGGTGGGACTGGCCTTAGCATGAGAGCTGCAGTGGCGACTCAGCTCAGCACTGCTGGGAGTGGGGAAGGTCCAGGCCTCAGTCCAAGATTTGGTTCAGGGCTCTAAGTCTGGGTATTCAGCAGTGCCAGGGAAAGGTGAGAACCAGGGAGGGAGCCTCCCCAAGGAGCAGGGTGGCCCCAGGCCCCACCACAGGCAAGCTTCCTTGAGGGCCTCTGCTTTGCCTTCCCCCCTGACCCTATCTGACCCTGTCCCAGGCTGGAGCCCTGTGTCCTGTTCCCACTCTTGGTGCCCTTCTCCAGCTAGGAGTTGGCTGCTGGTGGTGGGGTGAGGTGGGGTGGGGGTGGGGATCCCTAAACCTGAAGACTGTTCTGATTGTTCCTTCTGGCACAGCACAGAGGTTCGAGTACAAGTCTAGACCATCCAGCTCTGTGCCAGACAGGAATCCCGGCCCTATCTCTCACCAGCTGTGTGACCTACGCTAAGTTGTTCCACCTCTCTGAGTCTCGGCTTCCTCACAGATGAATCTAACAGCTGAACACCCAAACCTAGGAACTACCTAAAGCACCCGGGGCGCGCGGGGCTGCTAGGTACCCACACCTGGCAGGGTAAGCGGGGACTGAGGAGTAGGGGGCTGAGGCGGGATAAGAGGCTGCCGGCCTCAGCCGCGCGGGTGGTCGCGACTCCAGGCCTGACCGCCTCCCGGGAGGGGGCGGGGCCTGCGGGCGATCTCGGATTTCTGGGCACCAGTCGCGCGCCCACCCCCCGGGTCTGCAGCGACGCGGCGAGCGCGGTGGCGCCGGGAGAAACTGAGTCAGCCTGGGGGCGGCCGGCCGGCCG